CTGCGGCCAGGCAGGCCACTGAGCCGATGAATTTTCGGGCACTATTCGAAGGCTAAACCCGTAGATAATTCACTGTTATTTTTTTTTTTTTGCATTTGGTCAGGGAGGGAAACAGACCTAGACGTAAGGTACTTTGTTGAGGGTGGATGTCTTATTGGACACACAGTGTTTTGTGGAAAACAATCGAATGTAGGTATTTGTTAATGATATGCTTAGATTCGGTCATTGCCTATATATTTAATATGAAATTATCAGTCCTTGTGCATAAAGAAAATGAAATTTAATCTGCATAACCCATAGAATACGTGATAAGGCGTTTCTAGGAATAAACCCATTCGCACAGATTTATGACTGTTGCTGCGGCGACTGCGGCTGTACCAGTAATTTCTGTGTCAGGCCTGGTCGACCTGTAACCCAAACAAGGTCTGACTCACACGAGTCACATCTAGCCGACACACTCACTCTGGCGCTCTCCTCACAAACACTGGCGACTGTTTGCCTTATAAGGTCCGTCGTCTGAAAATCATTGCCACATGACTCACCCTTGCATAACTCCGGCATGTCCGATGCATACCCAGACGGCTCGTAGCTCAGGGCGGGGCTGCAGCGTCCCCGACAGGCCGCCGTTTTGCAGATGCTGCTGACCTAGCTACATTCGCTGTCTAATGACCCGCACGTGACTGACCGAACCAGCCGCCTTTGATTCTCTGACCGTCTTAGCGAGCTCTGAGCTGTTGTCTGGGGGGAGGGGGTGGCAAGAGATCGGATTTCTGCACCGTCGGTTCCGATGAAAGCGGATCAGAGATGGTTTGGAGGGGCTGACATGCCGCCGCCCCACGGAGGGGTCGAATTTCTCGACCACCCGCCGCTGCGTCAGCCTCGCGCATGACGTCTGTTTGATGGACGCGCGCAAACAGTGCATGGCTCATAAAAGGGTTAGCTCAATCGGACCGACTGAAGCAAACGGTGATGTTTGGTGTCGTTTTACCAGTGTTGCCACAGGCTCGAAATGGACGTTTAGTCTATTGGTCTTGTGGTCACCGGTTTTGCACAGCGTGAGGTTTCTTCCTGGTAAACCGGAGCAACAATCATGAGTACATGCCCTGCAATCTGGTGTCCTGCAATCTGGCTATGTGCATACCTAAGCACTATTTGATCTTGCATCAAATGTGATTATGTCATGCATTCGAATTTCGATAGTGTGGGCATTGGGAACTGATGTCTGAACTAAACTACAGGTCGAAAACCCTTTGGGTGGAGCTCTTCACAGAGCTCTTTCCCTTGGCAGTGGGTTGGGGACGATGCCTATGTGTTGCCCGCTAACCACTGAGCTTCCATTCCACGCATCGTTTCTCTTTCATCTAACACCCGCTGGTCGGACGAGAGCCGGGATTTTGTCCGACGACCGCTAACGGTTTGTTTATGCCAGAAAGCTGTGACAGTCGGGGAGGCTGGCCGCCGGCCAGGGAGGCCCTCCTGAAGTCCTGAGCCCTGTTCTGATAGGGCGGTCCTGGGGTCTCGGCTCTGACAGTTGTCAGATTTGACGGTCGGGTCTCGGTCACAGCCTGTCACGGTGACTGTCAGGGGACAGTTAACGCCTCGGAGGGATGTTATGAGTGTCATGACACGTCGAGTGTCTTCACAAATTATTGGCATGCCAAGTGTAAGTGCATTTGCATTCAATCAAATCTTACTGGTCTTACTGGTCTTACTGGTCGAGCGGCAGCGTCGTTAGCCGGCGGAGGCCCAATAGTTGGCCCCAAGCAGCCTCTGCTCCTCCTAGCTGGAACACCCTGGTCAGCGCCGCTCGGGAGAGAGTACCAGTGGCCAGCTGGCACATCGTGTGGGCAGCGCGGCCACGGGAGGTGGATTTCGCCGCCCAACCCCGCTGCAGGCCTCTCTCGCTCATCCTCCTCTCCTCCCACGACCCGTCGTCGCGGCTGCTCAGCTGTCGATCCCGTATGATGAGTTGGATGTCCTGCGTCCCGAGCTCCAGGTAGTCGGAAGCAGAACCGCTGCCAGCCAGGTGATCGGCTCTGTCGTTCAGTTGGACTCCGGCGTGCCCTGGGCAGTATACCCAGACGACTTGTTGAGGGAGGTCGTGCCACTCCGGAGGAGCCGATCCGCTCTCTAGTTTGCGCAGGAGAGACTGAGAGTCGGTGCAGATGATAATTTTTTATAAATATTTTCTATATATATAAAATATTTATATATTTCTATATAAATATTAGAAATATTTTCCCAAGGTGCTTTGAATGTTCCGTGATGTCCAATGAATCTGGTCCTAATAGGGTTGTGAAGTTTGAAGATTCGTAAAAATTATCATCTCTTTCTCATCCATTCCTATCTTAGGTCTGCACACATCTGTATGCCTTTGTATCTGTTATAAAACACATTTTTAGTTAAATTAAAAATAAGTCATTTTGAAGCCATATCCATTCGATTCATCTCACCAAATCCCTCCCCATTCTTATCCCGACCTACTCCGTTTGCCGGTGGCTGGTGTGACGGAGTTGGTCGGTCCCACCCGAGTCTTTGACCGTCTCCCCGACCCCGGACCGGCTTTCAGTCCGTGTGACGCCAGTCTGAAAGCCCGACCGGCTCCGTCGCTGCAGGCTCGGACGTTTTTGTTCGCATGCCAGGTCGCGGGGTGCGCGGCAGCTGATTCGCTGAGGCGAGGAGACGGGGCGCGACGACCACTGGAAGTCGCGGATAGGCGGAGGCCGATGAGTAACAGTGGGACTGAGACTCGGAACGGAAGGGAGGCGAGATGAGAGATCTCGCCTCTCGAATCGGTATCAGTCGGTGGAGCGAGACCGTTGAGGTGGCAGTGGTCTGAGAGTGTCCGAGTGAGGTAGTGTGTGCTGCTTGATTTGGAGGCTGATAGCTGATAATTGTTGTACGGGTACGTAAAAAAGTGGTTGGATGTGTCCGGAGTAATTTTAGTATGATAGCGAAACTTGGGCCCGGTTTTACCACTTGCGTGGGCGCGGAGTGCTTGTATAAAGACTGCGAAAACTATTTAACCCGCGCCCGGCTGGGGGTCCTGGATTTCCACGCCCTGCTGGGGGGGGGGGGGTGTTTGAACACCCCTCCCTTCTAACTCGGCTCCTGGGCCACGTAGCGATACGCGGAAGGCGGCGTTCGAAAGAGCGTCAAAAATAATGAGGAAATCACTTCGGTCAATTTTTTGGTCAGGTCAAAGGTCAGGTCACCAGAGGTCATTGAAGGCAAAATTTCGCCGATTTCCAGGTCGAATGTCGAAAACTTCCAAGAAGCCAACGCATAACTCGGGAACCAATAGAGCTACAGCGCCGCGGAAAAGCGCATTCGATAGCCCTATTAACGCCCTTTCTGGATAATTCTCTCAGATTTGGCCTAACGTCAACGGTTTTGCCTGCAGGGGGCAAAAACTGCAAAAATAGCCGATTTTTTCGGAAACAGTTTTCCTGCAATAACTTTTGACCCAAGCCTTGTACGAGCTTCCTTTTACCGGCATCGTGTTCCTCTCGTCAAGACGCATCGAATGAACTATAACTTGACCTTGAAAGGTCAACTTGAAAATTTGACCTCAGGTCAAGGTCATGACCTGACCGGAAAGGGTCATGTTGCATATCAGTCGATCCGTATCGTCGAGCTGAACACATCTAAGGCGTTTTCATCGCTCTAGCATGCCTCTATCAAAAGTTATATGCGAAAAACTGTTCGATGCCATTCGTGACCTAAGATGACCTCAGGGCATAAACAGGGGTCACGGACACCATTTTCATGTTCAGTGTGTCTAAACCACTTGTCATTCAGTGTTTAGGAGTGTTTATAATGTCTTTCGTTCAAAAGAGGTGCATTTCAATTTTCTCCCATTGACTTATAATGGGGAGGTCGCAAAATTGACCTGACCTTAGGTCATCGATATCAAAATTCGGAGATGTACATTTTGTACATTCTATTGCTCTTAGCAATCGCTGAAAGTTTCAAAGCGATCGGTCACTCGGTGTAGCTATGACAGACATTGAAACTTTTTATGAGGTGAGGTCACTTCAAGTGACCTGGTGACCTGACCTTGAATGACCTTCGTCTGAAATTTTCACAACATGTGTAGAATTGATGTATGATAAGGTGTATCAAAAACGGCGGCGCTCCGCGCCGCCGTTTTTGAGATATTCGCGAAAAACTACAAGGGGGGTGTTCAAACACCCCCCCCCCCAGCAGGGCGCGGGTTAAATGCAGCAGTGGAATTCTATGGAATTCGCAGGGTTACTTTAGGTACCTCCATAAGTTGTTAATAGCATCTGCTCGTAATCCGCAATCAGGCACCCTCGGTCCACGGAGGTTGATGTTCAAACTTCGTATTGTTCTAATAAATGCCGTTATATTCCCTAAACATTTGCCTCTAGAGTAGGTACCTACCTTATTTCCTGATCAATGGCTACAGCATTGCAATGTCAATGTCATCCCGGCGTTTTCTTTAAATCCCAGCCATTCCAGAATGCCATCCAGCTAACTGCCTAATGGGGGTAACGTCTTCCTTTTCGGGGGTCATTCACTCGGAACGGACCAGTCTCGCCTTTCTTAGTACGATTGGTGTGTCGCCAATACGTAACGGGTCTATTGAGACCAGTAATCACTGGTGACAAACGTCTACGAAAAGTGACGGTGTGGTCTGTGAAATTAGGATGTTTTGAGGCGGGGGTGTCCCATGTTTGCTCGGCCCCATGCTCTATTTGTCGTGGCTTCGTTTTGTTTAACTCGCGTTCAATGTCGGTATAGGTATACCTCATGTTATCAATGTCAACCTAGCAGCGTTGTTGTGCCTCGCACCCTCCCGTGTGCCTGACACTTGCCCGCACCCCGCACCCGCCACTCTGCACCCGGTATTCCTCCACGTGCACCCAGACGGGTCGCGCGGCAGGCGTGACCGACCGGCCCGCCCCCTCCCTCCCCTCCCTCCCACCGGCCAGTGTCCAGCGCCCCCCACCTGACAGTTCACTATTCCCCCACAGACGGCGCCAGTGTCGCTCACCATGGCCTCCAATGGGTTCGAGACGGAGCACGCGGCCAGTGCCGGCCGTGATCCGCCCGAGGAGGAGGAAATGCTGGCCGAGGAGCGCGACCTCGCAGAGGACGCCCAGTGGAAGCGCATCCAGCAGAACACCTTCACCCGCTGGGCCAATGAGCACCTGAAGAATGCCAGCAAGCACATCTACTCGCTCGAAACGGATCTGGAGGATGGACTCATCCTCATCGCACTCATCGAGGTGCTCAGTGGCAAGAAGATGCCCAAGCACAGCAAGCGGCCCACCTTCCGCTCGCAGAAGCTGGAGAACGTGTCGGTGGCACTCAAATTCCTCGAGAGAGACGAGAACATCAAGATCGTCAATATCGGTGAGTGTTGATGAGAGAGGGGCGGGGAGGGTGGGGTGTGTATTCCCTGAGGGAAGGGGAAGGGGAGGGCGAGTGTCGGTTGTGTGTGTTGTCACTTAAGGGGATGGGGAGTGAAACCGTGCGCGGTGTTAGGCTTTATTGACGCCAGAATGTTTTCCGTTTCCGTTATGGTTTCGCGCGCCGCGGGATTATTTTTGAATTCTGGAATGCCGCTAAGCATACCACGCAAGGCTGGGCGCATACATTAGCACCTAGCACAGACGTGATACCCGGATCAGCTGATTTACATACTAATCCCCTAATGCGCTCAGGGCACCATAGCAAAGTTGCTAAAAACGAAAGTAAAACACACAACATCGTCTCTAAGCCCAACCGCTACATTTCCACACTCGGACATTGTTTGCATGAGACATCACCATCGGGCTTTCCTGTGTCAATAGCCAATCGTCTATCGCCCATAAACTGATCAGTAACATAAGCACTAACGGCACTTGGACCGGTGTCTACAACACAGTCGCCCAGTGCGGCGCTGGACTCCCGAGTTTCCCGTTCCTCGGGCGGTGAGCTCACCAGAAATATCGGCGATTACCATCGCTCGGCTGCACCGGAACGACCGGCACTGCAGTCGGGGCAATCACCGGGTCAAATCCGCATTGGTCCGAGCCGTCACTTAGCACAGGCTATCACTAATGCATCAAGAATCATCTTGGGATAGTAAGGATCCATGCATCCGCTAATTTGTCAATGGTTTAGCGGTGTGAACAGGGCCAGAGAACCCGTGTCTGTCACACTCGAGTCCTGTTTTCCGGCATGTTTGCTGTGTGTCTACTGTTCCAACCACCGCTGCCACGCCCGCCACCGTCTGTCTGTTGAACCAGCTACGTCACTGTGACGTCATCGAATCACAGCTACTGGAAGTCGCGGTTGGTAGACCGATGAGCCGGTGAAAATCCGTGGGTCTGAGTGCTGGATTGGCGTAGCCGGAATGGCGAGCATTAGCTGCCTGTGGCTAAAGTAGCGAACAGGTCGTGGTATGAAGTCATCCGACATACCTGGCCATGACGTCATCTAGTGTGCAGATCCAATGTCGTCATAATCGTTCACCGGCATGTGGGTGCTGTGGGTGGATCGATGGTGAAGGCTCGGTCGTTAGCCGATGGGTGGTTCGCTTCCGTCATTATTGTGCTGACGTCATGATTCCCTGTCGTCATGACAGTTCATTGTCTGGGTGATATTGCCCGTTTTTTTTTCTGAGAAGATATCAGCCTGCATGGTATCTCCCGGTATGAGAGCGTAACCGAACATGGGCGCTGGGACTTGACGAGAAATCGTGCCTCTATGGTTAGGTTATCTCGATCGTGTGGCGCTCACTGTTGGTGATAAGTGCTGCTGCCTGCTACCATTCCTTTTTCGAATGGAGTTACTACGACATTTTTTTTTTCAAATTATCGTGCGAGCTTTTTTTCAGTAGAGTAAACATTTTTTTTTTTGTTTCCCTTAAGAAGATAAATCATTTAACTTTATTTTCGCCTCGTCTCGACTTCCGATGAATGCAGACTTTTGACGGTGCAGACCGTCATATTTCTGGAAGGGGATATTGCTGACAGCTGTTGAGGTCGGAAGTCGCGACATCACCTGCGTCCCCTCCCGTACTTGCCGTATAGCAGATCCGGCCACAGCTGTTCGCGCACCTGTCTATATGACGTGCTGAGACCGCTGCGCACTTTCCGAAGCTTACGCTTAGGGTGCGTAAAGTGTAATTCGATAAGTCGGAGCCGACGGAGCCCGGAGGCTTAAAAGCCTAGTAAAGGATGCTTCACGATATAAATTTGATGGCCTCGTGGTGGTTTTGACCAGGCCCAAAGGAAACTAAAAGTTTTCTTTTCATTGTCTTTGTTTATCTCGTTTTTGCAAACTTATCATCTGCATTTTCCTTACGAAAGCTTGCTTACATGTATCACTTTTGTAGCAGAAAATAACACCTTCCGTGGCAGGTGCTCTCCGTAACCTGCAATTAAAGGGACCCTCCCACCTTAACATTAGATTTGAGTTGAGATAACCAAAATGGGGTCCCTGGCTCACAATTACCGGTTTCGGCACTCACAACATCGAGAAATGCCTTAAATCGGAAATATTGAATTTCAAAATTGCAGCATTTTGATTCAGAGGGGCTAATGCTTAGGAATACCCCTCTGAATGTGTGACGTCAGCGCAGATATCTAACGATTTTTAAATGTTTGACTAAAACGTTTTGTAGCACGCGGTGGTATATGCTATTTGCGCGCAACATCTGCCGCAAACGCCGCACTTCTAAAATAAAGTCGCTAGAAACAGCGGAGATCCCAAAAAAGTAAACAAAAGTAAAAGTCTAATATCTTGAAAACCGGTGAATATTTTTCGGTGAAATTTGGTAGATATTCGTTTTCGCTCTTTCTGAACCGAGCGACATCACTTTCATGCCAATTCATAAACTTTTTTGAAGGTGGGAGGGTCCCTTTAACATGCCACATTTAAACGGTTATCTCGATCAGAATTCAACACTACCTCTTTACCGAAGAGGATGCTGCATTCCGTGCGTTCCTCGTGCAGCTGATTCTGCGAACTCCTTTCATCTGACCCCTTACCCTTCCTGTTGCTGGTTGAAATTGACCCGCTCCCGCTTCCTGTCATATATCCACTCGATCCCGTGCCCTGCCGTACCCGCGTTCCGTGTCGCCGTGCCGTTCCGTGCCGTGCCGTCACTGCTGCGCTGTGATACTGCACCAAATATCACCTCTGTCCCTCATACGTGACCAGTCAGTCCACTCGGAGCAGCTGGAATGTATCTGTCGCTCGGGGATGTTGTCTGTCTGTCCTGCCGGGGACCTATGTGTGATCACGTTCTTCGCCCTCCATCACGTCCTCTCGAGGTGTCCACGGCACGTGTGGATTGGACTTTACGCGAGGGCACGTAGATAGAGCTACCGTGTCACACTGAGGTGCAAATATTTACTGTCTGTGGCGAGATTTGATTTGTAGACGGGTTGACAGACGGATTAGAGCGTCTGTCTTGGCACGGATGATGTGTGATTGATACCGTTCCTTGGACTTACCCTTCCTTGACGCCTGTCTGTCATGATGTGTGCTAGGTACTTGACTCCAGTGTGGAGCACTGATTTTGGCCGTTGTCTACTTGCTGTAGCTAAGCGAAGAATTCGCGATATAATATAGCCTCGTTGCTGCAACGCGCCCCGTCACACCAAATCATCAATAATAAGTGAAGAATTCCAAAAATGTTGTCCGTGTCACGATGTCATATGCATGAAGTGACTGACGAAAGCTCGGATCGGTGTCAGTTTTCTTTTTCTCGGTAGCTGAAACCAAACATTGCGGATTCCGATCATGAATGCATTAGATTCCGTTCTCAGAGTGGATGCCGGTATTACTGCGGGATGGAATGTGATGCGGGTATTCACCGGAAGTTGGTCGTTCCGTGCGCATCAATCTCACTTGCAATGCTGGACGTTCATGTTCATCGTCCGATGGCTAAACTTTTCTTAGCGATCAGTCTGAGCTTTTCAAGTCACTTGAGACCTAAATAGGCTCCAAACGGATGCGTGACAACGATAACCAACCATCACATTCTCTACAAAATTGGATGAATACCGGAACTCTGCCGTAACCATTCGTCGTCCTAACCCAACGAATCACCCGAGCACGTGCTGTGCCGTGACCCCATTCAGCTCTGCCGCTAACGATTCGTCGCCAATCGATGCTTCGCTAATGCGGTATGAAATCGATACCGGCGCGGACGTGACGATCCAGGGCATAGGAATCGGTAAGACACGCGATACTACCGTCCAACGTCAGGTGATGTCGACACACGTCACGGTGTCACGGCTCCTGATGTCGCGTCACGGTGGTGATGTGGCACGTCAGGCCGTGTTGGGTGTCGTGACTCAGTGTTCGCCACGGGCCGGGCCAGCCCAACGGGCCACGGGCCGGGCTGGGCTACGGGCTGGGCCGGGCCCCCAAATATCATTAGTTAACGGGCTATGGATGGGCCGGGCCAAGAACTTTGTGCACTATGGGTTTTGCGACTAATGTCAATTTAAGAAAATTTGGAAACTGATGCAAACAAAACCCACTGGGAAAATACAAAAACTAAACCAAATTTAAGCAATGTGAAAGAAAACCTACTTGATATTGAATTTTGGGAATCTTGAGAATTATCCAATATCACATCATGTCACACATAGGAGGGTTTTCATAAAAATTCCGCAACCAAAAAGATCAGAGAATCTCTAGCATCATTAGTTTGTTAATAAAAGTTAAAATGTAGTCATCAGAACAACTTACTTAGCACTACAACTCCAAAAACTAAGAAGCCACTCAACAATGATGGGCTACAGGGCTACATTAAGTTAACACTTATATATGGCGATAGTGAGACAATTCCAACACAGTCTTTTTTCCTTCACCGACGGCTTTTTAACGAACAGAACCTTAAAAGGATACTCACAAAACACACTGTAAGTAACGAGGAACTCTACAGAGTATTTCGCGATGAAAGCTTCTTTAAATGTCCATAAATTTGTCAAAATAAATCACAACAAACCAGCCCCTTCTCAACAAAATGTGCAATCATGGCGGCGGCGCTATGTTTATGTGGCGGCATCTAGGTAGTATACACAACAGTATATCAAATAAATACGTTTTTTAAGTGAGTATCAAGGTGAAAACAAAATTAAACCAATGAAAAATAAAACCAAAATCACGAAGTCTGAAAACTCGAACGAAAAACAAAACAAAAACTTGATCATATATGTTTTATTATACAATTCGTCAGAATCGCTACCTGCCGCAGCTGCGACAACCAAGAAGTGTTCGCTCATTTTCGATTGATGATGATGATGCGTACAAGTCGCAAAAGTACCCAATGACATTTCAAGCTTACCATGTTTTCTGCTTACGCTGCTAGCGATATCCATATCTTGAAAAGAGCCTAACATAAAATAGCA